TGAATTTAGGGAGGGAATTGGGGAAAATGGATGTGGCTGGGAGGGGATGAGTTGGGGGGGGGTATCTGTGGGTAAGCAGGTCTCGGTCTCATGAAGACACCTCCACCCCTCATCCTCCAGTAGGCCTTCGATGAAGCAGGGGGTGGGGGCAGAAATCACAAATTCTCACTTTCTGTTGTGATTTGAATGTGATGTCTCCCCTAGGCATGAGGTTGGTGCCAGCTGTCTGTTCTCACTGTTTGAGGAAGTTTCAGAGTCCATGAGGAGGGGGAGCTGCTGTTGAGTCATCTCCACTCCTATAAGTGACCCCTTACCCATATACCAGTTAGTAACCCCAATAAAAACTCATCAGTTCACTGAGTCAGACTTTGGTGTAGTTACTATTTTCTGTAGTTACTGTGTTCCCTTTTGGGATGAATACATACGTTGCAGCTCCCTAAGAAAAGTCTCTCACACAACACCCAGCTCAGTGGGCAGCTTACTGACCCAGGCTGTCCTTCAGCCATGGAGCCATCTCCACCTGCTATTACTGTCAGTGGTCACCTGATCCAGAATGCAGTTGGAGCTCACCCAGTGCCACATCTCGATATGCACTACCAACCAAGCTACACCCCAGCTCAATACTGTGTTGGTCCCACTGTGATGCTGCTTCGGTTCCAGCTTTGGGAATCCCAGCACCAGCTGTAGACTTACAAGGGGATCGGAACAAGCTTTTGAGGGCTATTTGGAGTTGTGGCTTGAGGTCCACACACCCAGAGCTGCCCAAGCTTGCTCTAGTAATGGTGGTCAATCTCAAGGTCAGAGGAGCTCATAGTAGGCTTTCCCACCATGCAATGCTCAGGACAGTTGCCACTGGCCACACCGGCAACTTAAACTTCAGTGCAGATTACTTACAAGTCATGTCCCCATTAGCATGGCTACCATCAAGATGACAAGTGCTATCGGCTGTGGAGAACTGGGAACCCTCATGCATTATTGGTGGGAACAAAAGATGAAACAGTGGCTGTGGAAAACAGTGTGGCGGTTTCTTAAAAGTTAAACATAGAATTATCATATGATTCAGTCTTTCTACTCCTGGGTCTGTAGCCAAAGGAATGCAAAACAGAGTGGTGAACAGAAATCTGTAACCCAAGCTCCCTGCAGCCTTATTCCCAACAGCCGAGAGGTTAGAGGCTGCCCAGGTGCTCGTCAATGGATGAATGGATAAGCAAAACCTGTCTAGATATACTATGGATCTTACTGAGCCTCAGGAAGGGAGAAGGGAGGGAAGGTTGGGCATGGAGGTGTACACTTGTGATCCTAGCACTCATGAGCTTGGAGGCAGGAGGATCATGAGTTCAAGGTCAGCCTGCGATTCATAGCAAGGCATGTATCAAAAACAAGGCAAAACAGACATACCAGAGATAGACAGGCACACAGAATTCCAACACATTACAATATGAATAACCTTTAGACTATCACTCTGAATTAAATAAGCTGGTTCCCAAAGGACAAATATCATACACACTCACTGATATAGAGGTCCAGGGTGGTCGGATTCAGAGACCAAAATCAGAACAGTCACAGCCAGGCCTATGAGATCAGGTAAGGAATTGGTGTTTAATGGTGGGAGGGTCAGCTTTAAAGATGAAAAGGCCTGTGAATGGATGGTGTGACCTTTGCACTACCAAGGGGATGACCTTAATGTCACAAACTGTGCACTTTAAAATGGTGACAATGGCCTGTGTACTTGAGCCTGACTCTAAGACTTGGCAAGCCCTCTACCACATCTCTGTATTCCTAGCTCTCTTTTTACTTTTAGTTTGAAACAAGAGCTCATTAAGCTGCCAAATCAGGTCTTGATCTTGAGATTCTCCTGCCTCACCTTCCCAGGTAGCTGGGATTATAGATCTGTGCCACTAAGTGTGTGGTTCTCTGCCTACCCACCCCTTCCTTATTTGGACTACACGTGAGCAAATGCACATCCGTGTGCACATGGAGAGGTCATCGGTCAAGCATCTTCCTCAGTCACCTATTTTTGTGGGTATGCAGGTATGTGAGTGTGTGTGGTGGTATATGCACACACAGACACAGACACACACACACACACACAGAGACACGCAGACACGCAGACACACAGACACACAGACACACACACACACACACGTGTGTGTGTGTGTGTGTGTGTGTGTGTGTGTGTCTGCGCCCTTGTGTAAGCAGCAAGGCCAGAGGAGGAAGTCAGATGTCCTGTTCTGTCGCTTTTGCCTTCTACCTTACTTTCTGAGATAATTTCTCCCTGAATCTGGAGCTCACTGGTCCAGCTAGACTTGGATTGTGGGTGTGCACCACTGAGCCCAGCTGCTTGTATCAGTGCCGGGAACCTGAGCTCAGGTCTTAGTGTTTATGTAGCAAGCACTATACCAACTGAGTCATCTTCCCGGCCCCAGGTCTGGCTTATCTTTTATCACAATGAAATGCTTTTAATTAAACTTTAAAACTCTATTGAATAAAAAGGGCTGATCAGTTCTTTACTCTCCCTGGACAGATTTCAAGAGCTCAAGATCCAGCCTGGCCAGTGGCTGTAATATTTCAAAGTCCAGAAAGACAGCTATAGATAGCTCCATCACAAGGCAGTGTTCTAGAAGTGAGTCCTCTTGTACATAGGTCTTTACTGTTCCTCCTCTCCAGGGCCACCAGAGTGTCCTGCCAGCTTTGTAAGCCTCTTTCCCAGCTCTAAAGATCACTGGGTACTAATTGTTAGTGCAACATTCTGCTCCTAGCATGGGGGAAACCTTACTCCCAGCTCTGGAAGGAACTCTTGAAGCAGAAGGAGCTTGGCTGAGGGGTGAGCCTCCCCCACTCCTCCCTAGAGTCTCACTGAGCCCCAGGACTCTGTGTCTCACCCTTGCCTTCTGACGAACTTGCCACCCCACCCATGAGGACAAGCACTTGGTCAATAAACACTTGCTGCAAACACAAGTGTACATCTGTGTGACAAGGAAAACAGATGTGACCCAGACATCCTTCTTCAACACCTCGGTTTTATCACCTAAAATCCTCTTTTTGTTATTGTGATGATGAGATGGGATTCGCTTTAAAAATCCTTATGCTCACCATCTTTTTATTATTACTTAAAACAGAACTACAGTTAGATCATGGGGGTGTGCGTGCATGCATGAAGGAAGGAAGGAAGGAAGGAAGGAAGGAAGGAAGGAAGGAAGGCTGGCTTGTGGTCAAAACTTGGAGAAAGTTTTAAATGTGATAAAGGAGCCTTGTGTCACCCCAAGAAAAAGGAGGTATTTCATGCATCTGCCCCATGAAGAAGTCCCAGTGAATACCCCACCTTCAGGCAGGGTCCTCTGTAGACTCCTCAGGAATGATGCTCTCTGAGCTGTTACTGTTATGTGAGCAAAACTACATTTTATTTGGAGATTAAAACTGCCACTACCTTACTTAGGGACTGAAAAATACATTCATTTCCATTATGCCATTTAAACTACCCTACAGGGTGCAAGAGGGAACTGACCCATTTTAATGATGGGAACACCAAGGCTCAGAGGACTGGAACCCCACTCCCAGTAGACACACCTAGTCTTTTTAATTCCAAACCTCACCCTTTCCCTATGACTTGGATAGCAGTGGAATTAGGGGAAGAACACATATTCAGGAGACTGGTGAGATTTGCATGTCTACCGGTCTTACAGGCTTAGTGTGAAAGTTATCTTAGCTATTATACCGAAAGTGGCTAGCATGGGCCTGGCACGCAGCCACACATTCGCACATCATTAATTGCAATCATTACCGTCTTATTTATTTTTGTTGTTACTATTATTATTACAGCCATATCTTAGAGGTTTGTTAATTCCAATGATTATGGTTTTATTGTTATTAAATTAAAGGTACTTTTCAAAATTAACATGAGATTAACATCCTCCAAAAATAACATGTACAAATACGAAGTATTTTGTAGGGGAAAGATGGGAGTTCAGGGAGCCAAGGACCAGGGCAACTTAGAGGAGGGAGACCACTCAGGTAGCAATCTCTTTCCGGGGTTCAGCTAGCTCACTCACTTCCTCCCTTCTATCCATGATGGATCTTCTCACCAGGACCCCTCCAGAGGCTGACCTATGTGCCACCTTAGCTCCCGGGGCAGAGCCCATCTCTGTACTTCCGTAAGCCCGCCCTCCTCCCACAAAGCAGTCCCTTCTCATGCTCCACTTGAGAAGCACAGGCATGGTCATAGCCTAGTCCTTCCTCCAACTGCTAGTCTCCTAGCAGGGCTTTGGAGAAGACCTCAGCCTGCCAGCTCAGCTCTGCCCCTTAAGACCCAACCCTAGAGTCCATCCCAGTCCTCCAGAGCCCTACTGTCTTAGTTTGTTTTCCCATTGTTGTGATAATATACTCTGACAAAAGTAACTGAAGTGAGAAAGAGTTTATTCTGCCTCACAATTCAAAGGTACAGTCAGTCATAGTGGAGATATCAAGATGGCAGAAGCTTGGGGTAGATGATCACGTGACACCCACAATCAGGAAGTAGAGAGGGATGAATGCAGGGCTGAGCTCAGCTGGTCACATGACACCCACAATCAGGAAGTAGAGAGGGATGAATGCATGGCTGAGCTCAGCTGGTCACATGACACCCACAATCAGGAAGTAGAGAGGGATGAATGCTGCTGCTCTGCTCTCCAGGTACCCAGCCCAGAGTACCAACCAAGGGATGGTACCACCCATAATGATGGAGTCTTCCCTCCTTAATGAATGCAGTCCAGATAATCCTCCCCAGGCATCCTGAGACCCATCTCCCAGGGGACTCTGGAGTCTGTCAAGTTGACAATTGATACTAACCATAAACCCCATCTTTCAGCCCAGTTTGCCAATGTCCTACTCACAGATGGACCCACCCACGGACCCACCCAGCTACCACCTAGTCCCCACCCAAGCTCAATTTTCCTGCCTACTCAAGTCCTGCCTCCAAGAGACCGGTTCCACTCCTATTCCCTTACCCCCCAGCCTTGACTCACAATGTTCATGAGTGTCAGCAGGTACTTCTGCACGTGTTCCTTCCCATGGAACTGGACCACTGAGTCATCCACACCCAGCAGGACCTCGATGTTGTAGTCATCGTCGGCAGCATGCCTGCGCACCCTCCGCCGTGAGCTGTTGATGTGCTCTTCCAGGACGCCCAGGGCTCTGCTGAGGCTTTCCAGTCTGCCCCGGGAGGCTCCTGGAAGGAGAGGACAGCTTCTTTGGTAGCAGCCCAGCACCTCCTCCCCAGGGGCATCACAGAAAGACACAACCCATTTGGGTACAACTCAGTCACCAGTCAGGCATCAGGGTAGCAGCATTGGAGTGACCATTGTCTCATTTAAAACTCACAGCACCCTGAACCTGGAGCACTGTGTCCATTTACAGAACAAATAGAAGACTAGAGGGGGCAATACTGACAAACACAAACAAAACTGGGGAAACTGAGGCTAAGCCCAGACAGTATGTGTCACATGGTGTCTCTTCACTCCTAGCTCTCCTTCCAGAACTACCTCCCAATCTTACAAGGAATGGACCTGTCTGATACCCATATTCTGGGCAAGGACCTTCATGTCTGACCCCTTCTCCACCAGGGGAACTTTGCTCCCAACCCCGGTGCTGATGGGGTTGCTCAGGGACCCACATAAGTCCCTCTTGTCACACCTCCCACAGTCTGCCTTGGGAGAGAACTGACTGACTGGCCAAAAATGGTCAGTACCTGCTATGCACTGATCATGTGGAGTCCAAGGGATCTCAGTGAGGATAAGGGTCTGTACCAACAACAGGACCAGAGCCCAGGATGCCATGCTCCCTGCCACCAACAGGACCAGAGCCCAGGATGCCATACCCCCTGCCACCAACAGGACCAGAGCCCAGAATGCCATGCCCCCTGACACCAATGGAATCAGAGCCCAGGATGCCATGCCCACTGCCTCCATAGTTATGCTGTCTGCCTTGATTTCCATCTGGTTCACACTGGCGAGACCAAACATCTGAGGGTGGCCACTCATGATGATACAATACTGCTTGGCATATGGTTCTGTTCCCACCTCACCCCATCAGTCACCCAGCAAACCTCTTTGTTCAGTCACACAGTGGGTACCTTCAGTACAAATTACTGCCTCCACTTTACAGATAAGGAACCCTTATGTGGCAGACAACCAGACAGACGCTTTATGCCCTCAAGCTTACCTTTAACACTACACACACACACACACACACACACACACACACACACACACACACATATATATACCTTCAGGCACAGACACATATATGCTCACACTAATGAACATCTATAGTGCATTGTCTTATGCTCATATGTGAATGAAATGCACCCATGCATAAACATGGCAGGGCTAATCTAGGAATGGGGAATGGGCTAGCCTTGCAGGAAAGGCCCCCGGTAGAGCTAAGTGCTGCTCTGCTCAGCTGCCTGGAGATGATTGAGGGCCATCCTGATGCTTCCAGAGGAGCCGCTTGGGACTTAAACCTGACACGAGGCTTGAGGGATTGCTGCTCTATTTTCATGCATTTATTTCTTTGCATTTTCAGCGAGCAGGGACAGCTCACCTTCAGAGCCACCTTGGGAAGCAAAGAAGATGGTAATTTCCACAGAAAAAGTTCTCCCCTGGGGAAGGAGCTAGACACCACCTTCTGCCCCTATCTTGCTCAGGGTCATACACAGGCAGCCCCAGGGGAATAGCAGACTGAAGAGGTACTCCTTGGGTCCACAAAGTACTTTATAAAAATACCTAATATTGTCGACAGCATTTGAAACATGGGAGATTTAACACTGGAAACCATTGAGAACACTCAGTTTCTCCTGAGAAACTAAGAGATGGGACCATCCTTGGGTATCCTAGATGTACTGAGAGAGAGCACACAGGGGTCCAGGTGTGACCTGGTGACCAAGTCCAGCCTGGTGACTTCTTGACCCCTAAGGTCTCAGAGAGTACCCTTCTGATGCTAATCCCCCAGGTAGCTGTGCTGCCAACTAGGCACAGTTGTTGAACCAAACCACGTGCTCCAGGCCCATCTGAAGCAAGAGGCTATATAAAGATGCTTTGGAGATGGCAATTTCACCTGAGCATAGTAATTATTGTTGCTGACATTATTCTTACCATGATGATTTTTGTGGGAAGGGGTCCCCAATTTGCTCTCCTGTTGCTGTGATAAAAGACTGACCAAGCCAACTTGGTCAGGGGAGGGCTTATTGAAGTCTTAGAAGTTTTAGGCTATCATCAAAAGTCAAGACAGGAACCTGGAGGAAGGAGCTGAAGCGGCGACCATGAGGGTCTCTGCTTATTGGCTTGCTTCCTTATACAGCCTAGGGGAGGACTAGAATTTCCTCTACCAATCAACTGTCAAGAAAATTCCCTGCAGACATGCCCATAGGCCAACCTGATGGAGGTGATCCACAATTGTGATTTTCTCTTCCCAGGGTATGAATATGACAACCAAGGTTAGCTATCCTAAGGAGTGACTTCTTGGGCATTACCTTTTAAAACACCTCTAAAGCCCAGCTCTAGGTAGAGAGGTCCCAAACTCAGGAGTGGAGAGATGGGTCTGAGTACTTGAAACCTCCCTCAGTTCTGCTTCAGCTAGCTCAGGACACAGCAGGTAGACCAAGGCAATGGGGCCCACTACCCTCCCGCCCTCTGTGTCCCTATGGAAGTTGGCAGGCAGGCAATAGTCCACCTCATCAATCATGAAGACACTCATGTTTTCCTCACAATGGTTATGACCTTAATACAAGCTAAATTCTGGTCTTGACATGCCTATCTCTCCCATGGAGCTCTGACCAGCAACAAGCTCCTAAAAGGTCCTGGGCCAACCTCTCAGTGATCCCTCTGACAGCAGCCCTGGCCTTCAGGACCCACCCAGCCATGCTGGATTGCTGGCATGATCACAAGGCCTTTATTCCACTTGGTCCTTGGCCTATGGGTTACATGACCCATCCTTCATTACTAGTGCAGGCTGGGTGATGAACTGTCAATGCTGCCCATTTCCTGTTGAGGCAGGAAGATACTGCTACCTGACGTTTCTCTTTCTTCTGTGGCAGCTCCCTCTCCCAGCAA